TCCTTCTCAACTGCCTATAATCATCACGTGATTAACTTAACACCATCCCAAAAATACTCTCAGATCAACCCTGGACAAAATCAAAGTCAAGGTCAAAGTTCACAGTCAAGGTCAACAGTCCATATTGACCTCAACTCGTCGAATAGAACCTGCCACTCGTCGAGTTCCTGGCATAACTCGTCAACTCGCTGAGTCACTAGAGTGACTCATCGAGTTCCCCAATGTTTGCGGCCGTGAACCCTCAGCCGCTAACTTCTGACCGCAAACCCATCCAGTCGAAAACCCCTTGGCCGTAAACTCCTTGGCCGACTCGTCGAGTTGATAGGGGAACTCGCCGAGTCCCCCTTCCTGTTTGCTCGTCGTGATCATACAGGGATTCCAGGGCTTAGATCTGAAGCCCTAAGATGCTTAGAAGGATAAAGTTTCCAACTTTACCTTCTAGAACCATTCCAAATGCTCTAAGGTACTTAATAAAGGTTGGAAAGCTCCAAAGCTTTTCCATTTGATCCAAAACTCTAGGGATCTGAAATCCCTCCTTTCCAGAAAGGTTCCTAGTCTTCAAAACGTCCCAAAGATGAAAGCTTTATGGACATGCATGTCCAATACATGTCCCTGTGTCAAAATGGCAAAAAAGAGGGAAATATGCCCTAAAACCCTTGCATGGTGTCCTTACACGACCAAAAGCCAGATCTAGCCCACCTTGGGACCATTTTGCTCTGGAGATTCATAAAGTTGCAAACTTTATGAATCCTATGCATGCATTCAACAAGAAGGGTAGGAAGTGAGGAGTAAACCAAAGATCTAGCCTTATTCTTTGATAAAAATCGAGTCTTGAAGACTTACAACAATTCACAAGATGATTAAGCTCAAGGATAGGTTCTTGGTTTGTTGGATCTCTTCACTATCTCCTTCTTCTTAAGCTTTAAAGGTTACTCTAGCTCCCAAAATGGAACAGAATGGGGACTAGGGTTAGCACCGACGTTCTTAGTGTTTGGAGGCTGATGGGAGGTCATCCTCAAGGCTCATAAGGAGATTATATAGGGTGCAAACCCTAAAATTAGGGTTTTGTCTTAACAGCGCCTACTCCTCGAGTCGGACTTGCAACTCGTCGAGTAGGGTGTAGATCCCGCGTCCCTGAAATTAATACTTCTACTCAACAAGTTGATCCTCCAACTCGCCGAGTCCACGGCCAAAACCCTAAAATCAAATAGATCAAATAATACTTGGAATAGGTGTTACATTTCAATTTGAAACTATATTCAACTTATGTTAAGTTAATGATCATGATAAACCATCAAATCCAATATTAAAGCGGAAGAAAGGAATCATGTTTATGTTGATTTTTTTTTTCCACATATGTGTTAATTATGTTATTTGTAAATGTTACAATATCTAAAATTCGAATGCCAGTTTTTGTAAAAGAAATAAACTGTGTAAAGTAAAAACTTAGGAAAAAGATATCCTTCATAGCATCAATTTGATACATTTTTTTTATAAGAATTTAGATGACAGTTTTATTGAAGAATTTAATAATAAAGTTATTTGTTTTTATTTTATATTTTTGTAGAAATAATATTTGTTGTAACTAATTTCAAATATTACTTAATTTAAAATATCGAAATGTCTGAAAAAGGTAATTTACCACATTTCGGTAAATAATTTGCAAAGGACAATGATTTAGTAAATATTTTTTAAAAACACTGCTACCGTACAAAACTCATCCCCAAGATTCAAGACCCGATTATTATATTTGACTTCCGCCCTATCAGTTTAATTGGTTGCCTGTATAAAACAATCTATAAGATGTTGGATGAAAGGCTAAAGAAGGTGGTGCACCTGGTAGTCAGTCCAGTACAACCTGCTTTTATCAAAAAAACGTTTTATACTTGACGGTCCGCTGATACTAAATGAAGTGATCGCATGGATAAGGAAGAGCAAGAAGAAGGCCTTCACTTTTAAAGTTGATTTTGAGAAGGAATTTGACAGCCTTAGTTGGGAATATTTAGACTCAATCCTGCAATAGATGGACTTCGGGATTAAATGGCGAACATGGATACATGGGTGTCTATCGTCAGCAAGGGTATCAATTCTTATCACGGGTCTGCGTTAACAGAATTCTGTATGGAGTGTGGGATCAGACAAGGTGACCTGTTATCCCCATTCTTATATATCAATGCCGCAGAAGGATTACATATAGCGATGGAGGTGGCAAAAAAATGGAATTTTTGAAGGTATTCAACTTCCCCATCAGGGTCCGATCATCTCCCACCTCCAATACGCAGATGACACTATTTTCATGGGTACTTGGTCAATTGAAAATGCGAAGAACTTGATTAGAATTTTAAGATGCTTCGAATTATCATCAGGCCTCAAGGTGAATATGTCCAAAAGTAAACTCTTTGGTTTTGGTACCCAGTCTTGCGAATTGGATCTAGTGGCTCAGAGTTTCAATTGTTCGGTTGGTTCTCTTCCATTCATATATCTAGGATTACCGGTTGGTGCTTCTATGGCAAGGGCAGTACACTGGAATCCTATCATAGAAAAATTCCAAGCAAGACTATCAAAATGGAAAGCGTCTATATTGTTGTTTGGTGGCCGATTAACGCTTTGCAAATCAGTATTGATCACTTTGGGTTCTTTTTATTTTTCATTATATAAAGCTCCCATCAAGGTTATAAAAAACCATTGAAAAAATAAGAATGCGGTTCTTTTGGGGGGAGACCTGGAATCAAGGAAGATGCCATTGATTGCTTGGGAAAAGGCTCTTGCAGCCAAATAAATAGGTGGACTTGGAAGTGGTAGCATAAAGGCTCATAATATAGCGCTATTGGGGAAATGGTGATGGAGATTTAAAAGCTATCCCGATAGTACCTGGGCAGAGGTGATAAAATCCATATATGGCATGGATGGTGGATTCTCTAGACCCTCGGTAGCAAAGAGAAAAAATGAATGTTGGGGTACAATTTGGTAATATACCTAAAATATTAGGGGAAAATCAAGTGACTTTTTTAGAACATTTCCAATTGGCATCTAGAGCCAACAGATCAACCAGATGGGTTTGGTCACTTAAGCCATCAAGAGTATACTCAGTTGCTTCTCTCAGAAACCACATTGATATTGCAATGCTTCTTCTAAGTGATTGCAGATGGTATTGGAACTATCTAATCCCTGGGAAACTGAATATTCTTGCGTCGCGAATCTGTCATGGCAAACTTCCTTCCATGGCCAACCTCTTGAAACTGGGAATCAGCTCATCAAACTTGTGCAAAATGTGTAATGGAGCCCCAGAAACGGAGGAGCGTGTGTTTGTGGACTGCCCAGTAGCACAAGAAGTCTGGCAGCAGGTCTGTAGATGGTGGCGATTGTTGGAGTATCCTATAAATTCGATTCGAGATCGGTTAGATTGCAAAGAAAGGCTATGGGGTCATTATAGGCTGAAAAAGATTCACGAAGCAATAATGTTGGTATTTCTTCGGGTGATTTGGGGATATAGGAACCTAAAAGCACATTCTTCAAACGCAAATACAAAACCGTATACAGCGCTGGCTTACGAGGTACAATCGTTATCTCTTCTTTGGATTAATGCAAGGAATCGGAGAGGGCAGAATCTAAGATGGCTGGAATGGAGTTGTGATCCGATTTTAGAATGCTATTGTAGGCTATAGTTTTGGCAGCTTCTGTTGGTTTTGTTATTTTCTTTCCTTTCCAGTACTATACTTTTGTACCCCTAGCCCCTGGCTAGTTTTGCTTCGTTTTTTAATTCCAGCTGCCGTTCAAAAAAAATTACAGTAATCTATTTGTTTGCTACCGTTAGTGGCATATTAATTAATTGTTTCAGATTAATTACTATTGGTATGAATTTTAAATCTTTAGCAAAAAAATTTTACTATATTTGAAGTTGCATGTTTAGCTAAGTATTAACTTCGAAGGTTTGACTTCAAACTTCTAACCGTTAAAAAACAATATAAAGACATTTTTGTTTTTTATTCAAAATAAAATTAAAAAAAAAAGGAATCATTATATAACAATGAGTTAAAGATAAGTTGCAAAAATTTTGAAATGTTGCAATATGACCATATGTCACATCACGATGCTAATCATTTATTCAGCAAACAGAATATTAAACATTTATCTAGTTTGTTGTCTAACATGCAAAGTATTGTTGACTGTTCCATTAAATTTGTATCAACGTAATACAGTTTTTAAAATCTTATTTATGTTCGACCATGTTTAAAGAGAGATTAAACGTTTTGGATTTAATTTCGCTTGAAAACGACTTTCTTGAGATTATAGAAACTGGTTGACCCGACGGTCGAACTGATTAAACCGGTTGAACTGGGAACCGGTCATTATACCGGTTCAACTAAAAAACCGGTGTTTAAAACATTGGCTACGAGTTGCAAGCAAACAGTTTTAGGATTACTTACTATATTGGTATTCATATAACTTTTTGATTTTTTTTTATTTGTCAGTATCGAAGTATATAGCATATACTTTCTGGATTTCATAACACCATGTTCATTTTCAGGTATTACTATCCTTTTCTTTCCATGTTTTCTTTTATTTTTTGGAAATGAAACTTTTACTAAAAAGGGTTTTCCGAATAGCTTTTGCAGACCTAATCCTCCCAACATAATCTCATGCCTTAGAGTCAATGGCTCAATTCAGACCTCCGCGGCAACAAGGACTGATTTGAACATGGATAATATTAGGCTATGGATTAAAGTACTTTTGCTTTCCAATTCATCCAAAATATTTGATGCATGCAATCATTACACGTCAGAAGAAAGACTATACAACATGGTTGGCAGGTTATGTTCCATCAATTCATGCTAATTAAAACATTCATATATATGTTAATTATCTAAGACACTGTTTATCGCATCATTAAACTAAGCTGCACTGAGAAGCTCCTTCGAACATAGATATAGGAAAATCTAGAGTTGTAACCAAGTAAATATCTATATATATAATAGATATATCAGAAGTTCATGGATAAATCACATGATGATACCATGAGAAAGAGAAAACTTGTTATCATCATCCTCATCCTTGAAGCAAGATCCATCTTCAAACCCTAGTTGGGGTACGACTGCATGTTCCATTTGAGGCAAGCTGGAGAGGTGGTGGTAATCACTATAGAAATTATCAGACGGGAGAAGATCTTGATGCGAGCATTGATAATGATGATAATTTCTATTAGCATTATCATAATCATGGAAATTCTCAAAACTAATCATTGTTTGGTGTAGCCAAATCTGAGCTTTCAAGAACTTGACATATTGAATGGCCTCTTCCAGCATGGATACTGTATCCATGTTCCTGGTATCACTACCTGGTATCAAGCTTCGCAGAATCTTGAACCGCTCGCTGATTCTGTGCCTTCTCTCTCTTGCAGCTACACTTTGTGGGTCTGTTGAGAGCTTCACTTTAGTGCTGATCTTGTTGTTTCTCTTGTGCTTCTTCTTCTCCCCTTCTCTCCCATGAACTCTGTTGTTGACTTTATTGCTTGTTACAACTACCGAAGAAGAAGAATGGAAATTAGGGTTTCTGCACTGTAAAAAGAAATCCATGTGCTGTTTTTATGCAGGGCTCCCTACTCTTTGATTCTGTTGTGGCTGTTTCGTTTGATGTCCACAATCAGATAAAAGAGAGTTTCATTGAAAGATTATGGTGCTTGATGCTTTCAGCAAAGGATGAACATATATATAAAGCAGGAGACTAATGAGTCTAGGAGATCAAACGTATACTATAAATATTGTATCTATTGCGAATATTGTATCAGTAATAAAAGGTTTTGGGTCCTTGGATTAAAAGATAATCGAGAAGATCCGCATGTAACTAATATATATATATATATATATATATATATATATATATATATATATATATATATATATAATTGACGGCAAAAGGAAGGGTTGTAAATTTTTATAATTGACGCACATGTACCGGATTATAACAAAACCCACTTCCTTTTTTTTCATTTAAAATTTTTTTTAGGCCAAGTTGTTTATCGAAAAAAAAAAACCGAATATACCGTTGTTCACGATTTTTCGTCCTCTTTCCATAGAGATCCATGATGATATAAAAAACGAATTTTTTTTTTCGAAAAAAACCCACTTAATTTTCTTAGTTTTTTCAATATTTAAGTTTATTTTTATCAAAAAAAAACTAATTATACCAAAAATATTAATTTTTTGTACTCTATTAATAAACATCAACACCGACTAAAAAAAAAAAAAAAAACCTCGAACAGTACAGATTGACAATGTGAATCTAAACTGTAAATATTTCAATTTTTAACATTCACAATATGAAAAATTTCGAACAGTTCAGATTCACATTGTGAATCTGAATTACTATTATACACACTGTGAATCTGAGAAGGTTAAAAAAAAACCTCGATCAGTGTACATCCACACTGTGAATCTAAACTGTAAATATTTCAAATTTTAACATTCACAATGTGAAAAAACTCCGATCAGTTCAGATTCACACTATGAATCTGACTTCTTATTATGCACACTGTGAATCTAAGGAGGTTGATAATGTGAATCTGAATAGGTTTACAATATGAATCTGAACAGGTTCACAATGTGAATCTAAACTGAAATAATTTTTTTTTTAACTTGAATATGAATCTATGTTTAAAAAGTACAAAAAATATGAATTTTGATATATTTATTAATTTTTTTTCTATAAAAAAATAAACCTTAAATTTTTTCATCAAAGAAAATGAAGTGGGTTTTTTCGAAAAAAAAAGTTCGTTTTTTATATATCATCATTGATCTCTATGGAAAGAGAACGAAAAATCGTGAACAACGGTATATTCGCTTTTTTTTTCCGATAAAAAACATTGTCTAAAAAAAATTTTAAACGAAAAAAAGTGGTGAGTTTTTTTGTAAATGGTGGATTTTTTGGTATAATCCGGTGTGTGTGCGTCCAATGTAAAAATGTACATCTATTTCTTTGGTCGTTGATCGTTATGATTTCCAACGCTCACCGATTGGTTCCTTGGTTAATTATGGTTCTCTATTGAACCTCACCCTATATATATATATATATATATATATATATATATATATATATATATATATATATATATATATATATATATATAGTTAACTTTTGGGTAATATTTTCTTTTATACAAGTATAGGTATAGAACTTTTTAGAAGTGTTCATATATGAGCGGATATAACCGGATGTAACCTGCTACAGCCGGTCATAATGGTCATATGTGAACATTTCCAAAATGTTCGTTAACTATGTGTACAAAAAAAGATAGTAACTCAGATGTGAACAAACAAAAAATTAATTACATTAATAAGTCTATTTCCATTAAATATTTTATATAAATAAAAATACGAGACCTTTACCGATTAAAAAAAAGGACATCTGCGTAGTTTTCGTATTAGGACTTCAAAATCCATTAAAGATAGGTAATAATATAATTAAATCCGGATGTTTAAGAATTATCTTTTTATTTGCAAAAAAAAAAGCAAAAAAAAACATAAACATTATAATAGAAATGTTTTTGGAAAAGGAAAAACCTTAAAAAAACCATATCTATTATCTTGCAACGTTAAAAAAAAACATTTTATTATTTTAAGTACATTTTAACCATTATATTTTGTATATTGTTTAATTTAATAACAATTAACCGGCTAGCCTCAAACAACCGGTTGCATTAACTATTAGCTATGTAGCAATTAAAACAAAAGTCTAGGTTAAATAAATTCATTTTATAGGAGCAAGCCCTCGTTCTTGTTCTTCTTATTTTTTGGGGTTGAGGTGTGTGTGTATGCATCTTTCTTTGGCGGTGTGTAGATATCTATGATAGTTGCTTGGTCTCTCTAGGTTGTTTGAGATATTCGTCATGGTTGTTGTTGGATGTGTCGATTACCCCTGATTGATTCTTGGTTGGTACTTTATTAGATCAGATTGGCTATGCTTTGTTTCGTATCCATATTCATGTGCACATCTTGTGCACTTTTTTGTTATGTTATCGTTGACCATTGCCCCTTGTTTGTTCTGACTTGCCTGTTGGTGCATTGGATATTTGGGTACCTTGTTGTTTCCTGCCACTTTATATAATTCCTTTTCCGATGATTGATATTGATGCGGTTTATTTTTCTTGGTATTTCTCTCTTTTTTGGGAGTTGGACGATTTTACCCCAATGGTCTCGGTCTAATATTTGAAGTATCAACATATATGTGTTCTAAACTTCATGGTTTTTGCTCCTGTGCTTTTGGTAGTTGCTGTTGTTGTTGTCTCTTTTCTGTTGATTTTCCATATTTTGGTGTTGACGATTATACCCTTGGTGTCATTAAACACTTTTTTGTGGATGATGATGTTGTAGGGTAGCCTTTGGTGTTTTCCCCATCTTTATTTGTTGTTTCTCCTGATTTTTAATGTAGGAATTTTAGGCTTATGTAATATGTTGTAGCATGGCAAGTTAGATTTATATAATTTACTTGAAGAATTGCGGACATGTTTTCAATTGTTTACAACAATATACTTTTGTTTTCAACTGTTTATAGCAATCAACTTTTGTGCAATTTTGCTTAAATGGTAAAATGGATGCTAAAATGGCAGATCTTAAGGATATAAAGGCATGAAATATTGACAAACAATCATGGTAAGAATGAAAGCTACAAACATTCCTAGTATAACGAGAAAGAATCCTTGTAAAAATGATCAGTTATGGTAGGACCAAAACAGGCCTGATATATATATATATATATATATATATATATATATATATATATATATATATATATATATATATATATATATATATATATATATATATATATATATATATCTATATCTATCTAGAGAGAGAGAGAGAGAGAGAGAGAGAGAGAGGGGAGGGAGGGAGGGAGGGAGGGAGAGGTGAAATGTGGTAAAATCGAAGCTATGCACTAGGTTAAAAATGGATAATTTTAGTCGTTTACGGTGTCATACGTTTATAGCGAATGGTGTCATTGTTTATAATTTGTATATAACAATGTAGTTTGGTTAAATTGGTTAAGAGCAGTGAAGTTGATCATTTTTACAAAAAAAAATCTGAAAAGATTATGATATATTAGCATTGATAACAATGTAGTTTGGTGAAAAAGAAAACAAACAGGCATTTATAGTAACATACATTAGTGAAAATGAATAAAAATGGTCAAGTTGGCCATTTTTTACAATAGTTCAAACACCAAAAGTTATGAGAAACGCATAAATTACATTTCCAAATTAGCACTAACACCGTCGACCTTTGTTCATGCTTTCTATTAGCTTTCCATAGCAGCCTAATTCTCATTAAAAGTTAACCAGACATTGGGGTCACCATTCATTAAATACATATTAAAGTACAATATCGTGTTGAATTTCATGGTTTTGCGATTGGTCATATGAACCTCCATCCATTCATTCTAATAGTTAACAATCATAGTACAAATCTTCTAGAGGATCCTCGGTATCTGCAACATGTCAACATCATTATAATGAGCATCCAAACAGCCATTCTCAGTAACTAGAACCCAACAAATGAAGACTAATATTAATCATGTCATCAATTCTTTTATAAGATGAAATATAGTTAATTGATCCCAACACATGGGACTTAATACCATCTTGCCCATCAATTCCCTGCATACCTATTGTGAGATACTAGAATAAGCAATATATTCAGTTAAACAAGGATCAGACGTGGTTTTCCAGTTTGGACATATTGGGTACGATGGGGGTAGGTTAATTTTGGTAAATCCCAATAGGGTGTACCATAGAATCTGGTACGGTGTATCTATGTTCAAAACATAATTCCATCAACAGTTTACTTAAAAATAGAAACTCTAGCATTAGTTTACTCAATATAGTTTTCTAGTTGTTGTGTTTCACTGTCTTCTAAAAGACTTACCAAAACACATTTTGAAAGATTAAAAGAACTACAAAATAAAATACATGATAATAGGAAAGCTAATAGAAAGCATGAACAATGTCGTAACAATGGAATTGTGCTATATGTAATTGAAGAAATTCTAGAATAGAAGTTTAGGAATATGTAATATATAATCAAACAAATCTATTGGAAGCATTAATCAAAGCAACAGAACCTAAACCGAATGGTAATCGTCATTTTTTTAGTCGACATTAGTTTTCCCTCCATTCTCCAAATTGGCGATCCAAGCTCTAAATTGGTTATCCCAGTACAAACAAGTTCCAATAATCAAATTTTCTGGGGATCGTGAAGTCCATGTACCCAAGTGTGTTTTCGTCGACTGGAACGAAGACGTACCACTTTTGGGAACAAGGTGTTCACTTCATGGTTGAAACCTATCAACATTCATAGTGGCTCATGGTTGATAGTTCTAATTGCCGACTTCATGTTCTTGAAGAGAGAGATTGGGAAGACATGTAAGCCACGTTGGATATTGTTAATCAGTTACCAACTATTACATGATAAAAGAATTAAGGCGAGTGGTCTAGAAAACAAAAGTGGTTAAAATGAACATAAAAATAGTAAAAGGGTTTTTTAAGCATGCACATATAATAAATAGGGTTTTTTTGGTCTTC